TTCTTCCTGTTCTTCAGCTCTTGGGGAGATTTCTTACTGGATGCAATTCCTGGCCTTGTGTTTGATACAGCAAAAGAAGATGTGGCGCTGCGGACAAGCATACCAAGGCAACTGCTTATGGTAAGTAGGTGGGACTAAGGGAATAATAGTGCATCCAGCTGAAACTTCAGCGCTGAGGCAAGCATTATCTTGTTGATCTGCTCTGAAAGCTCAGTGCAATGGCACCATCTTGTCTAGCAGCACAACCGCTTCTAGTGAAGACTTCAGGATGACTGTTCTGAGGTTTGTTCCACCTGAAGCAGTACCTAGTTCATTGCACTGCCTTTCTTTCATATCACAGTGTCCTTGTATGGCTTGTTTCCTTCTGAAAGTAATGGTATTTGCTTTGGAGCTGTCAGGCAGGCATAGTTCCTGTCAGGCCAAGCTTTTGAATCTTTAAAAGTTAGCAAAGCTGTAAATTGTTCTGTGACCTCTTTATGGAGTGTCCAGAATTTCACTGCATTACTGCACGTCTCTCTCTTTAGGCTAGTCTGTTTAGCTTGAATTCATGCGAGAGCGACTCTTGTGTGAATATTTAGCAGGTGGATATAGCTGACTCGACAAAAAAACTGAGTAGCCTTTTGAGAAAGCTTGCAGACCGTCTGGAAAACACCAGAGAACTGAGATCATCTGACATGAAGAAGGATTTCATTATGAACCGGTTGCCACCTTGCTTGGGATGCGACTCTGATCCTTTGACTCCAGGTAGATTTTTGGAGCTACCAAAACTGGCTGATGTGATGGTAGAGCTGTTGCTAACTCTGCCTCTTAAGACTTTGTTATTTTATGGTAGGCAAAGATTGTAGTCTAGCATCAGCTTCATGTTTTGCTAGGCTCTATGTGTGCATTTGCGCACCTCAGTTGGTTAATTCCCTGCGTCTAGCGGGAGATGACACGTCTCTCTTAGAGCGCAATAAATAAGGTTATGCTAGACTGAAATCAGCAGCTTTAATAAACTACTAGGTACTGAGAATGTTTAGCTGGTAGAATTTGTCCTTATGCTCCAGCTTGCTATTACAGCTATTTGTAGACTGTAAAGGTGAGAGAACTAAAAAAAACTCTCTCTCCTTCCCCTCCGCCCCAAGTTTGGGAACATGTGGGTGTTGAAACATAGGTTAATAAAAACTCTAGCCGCAAGAGAGCGGGTTGTGCACAGAGGGCTCAATTTGCACTGTTCGTCTGGTTTCCTTCCTTTCTAATGGAGAATTTAATTTTCTTAGGTGGGAAATTGCCAAAAATAGATAGCAAAATCAGACTGCAGTTTAGAGATCATGCTATCATTACAGTGGAACCAGATCAAGAGAATTCTGTAAGTATAATGAAGCCCCCCTCGTACGCTTGGGGTGGGAGCGCGGGGTATGCGAGTTGTTGCTCTGTTGTACTGGTCTAAAAGGGTCATGCAGTTATACTTAGTTGGGTCCTGCATCCCACTAGGGTTTGTTAGGGATCACGGGGTTGTGGTCGAGCCGTAATGTGGCACATTCCTGCCTTCCGGAGAGCTACAGAACTACACTGAGTCTGTGATTCTGCATGGTAGGTGCATGGCGTTTGTCTGAGGTTAGATGGGATAGATCGTTACAGCTGCTAAATGGCCTCTGTAGCTCTTGATAATGGATTTTTTTTTTTAAATTATTATTCTTTGTATTTAAGAGCATGAATAAGTTATAAAAATAGGTTCCCTCAAGAGAGGGACTTCTCTTGGTTGCCGCTGCTCTTGACTGTGGTTGCATTTAGTCTTCACTTCCGAGTTATCTTTGTACCTAAGTGGGTGCCAGGGGCGCTACCAAGTTGTTCCACAAAACAGATGCTGGCATCTTGGATTACGTTGTGTTCAGACGACTCCTTATCTGTGAAGGTTTATTAGTATGAAATTGCTTTTTGTTGTCTTAATTTAAAAAAAGGGGGGGAAATGGGACGGACTATCTTGTACAATTTTTTTTGCACGAGTAAAATGTTTCCCTCCAAGAAAAATATACCGTAACTTTCTGATTTTTCTCCTCCATTTTGTTTGTGTCCATATTGCTGTACGACTGTGTAGGTTCCGAGTCAGAGGAATTTGAGGGTGTGGATCATATGTAACTCTTTTCTTCCCACTGTCTTGTAGGATGAAATTCGCAGAGAGATGGTTTATGTGTATCATTCTTTAAAGAACAGGAGAGAAACTCACATGATGGGGACAGAAGATGATACCACTAGTGAGGACGGCACATCGCAGGTTTGTTGCCACAAACGCACAACAAAAGCTACATTGCCACGCTGGGTTTTGCTGCGTTTGTCAGAAGAGCTTGACTGAGCTGGTAGCAGGGGCCTGGGTTCTGCTGTGTTCCTCGGCGCCCAAAGCATTTCTGCCCATCCCCTCAGTACCCAGATGAGCTGAGGCTGCAACACAGAGGCAGTTAATAGTAGAACCAAGTAATGTAATCATCTCATGCTTAATTAAATGTTTGAGATGCTAACAGGATTTCTTGTGCACACCTTACGTCCTAACTAGCAAAGCTACTGGAGTGGCTAGAAGTGTCTCTTACTGCGGTGTCCTTGAGCACATCCTTCATTAAGGCTACTGGATGTGCTAGCACATGTGCAGTAGTAGCAGGGATCACTGCGCCTCATGCGCCACATTTATGCCACGTTGAACCCGTGTTAGAGTCTGTATCCACTGGAACATACTGCAAGATAAGGGTGTTCATTTTAGGGTGGGGTGGGTCAGCATTGGGAGTAAAGAGTTAACTCTTTTACTGAAATTTAAGGAGGGAACTTTCTATATTGTTCACGAGGCTGCAGATGGTTCGTCTCCATTCTTACTCAACACGTACAATGTGCTTTTGCTCGAATCATAAATACTCCTGAAGGATGGCTGTGAGCTTTGGAACTTCTTGTTCCACTTTATGATAGTAAGACGCTCTATCTTAGGCCTGTGATCCGAAGCACTTGAATACAGGTCTGCACAAATACACCGCAGAGGCAAAGCAGAACACAGCCTGTTCTTGCCTCAGTAATTACAGCAAGGCTTTCTGCCTGGCAGTTACGTACCTTTTAAGGTAAATCTCACTGGTCCTCTAGAGTAGTGAATACGGGTAGCTGAGGTTGTACGCTGGCACCTGTCCAATATGCACAAATCCCGGAATATACCTTCTGCCCTAAAAGACTCCAGCCATGGTAATGGAGGTCCTCTGTGGTTCTGTCAAACTATGTCCAAAGACTGCATGCGCCAGACAGAAAGAAACGTATATGACTGTCCAGAAATAATGGGTAGGGTTAGGCAAGAGTGTAAATTTAAAGTTATTTCATTCTTCAGTGTGGAAACCACATGAGGAAGCCACACACCTTAAGCCTCCCTCCCTACCTCATAAGGTGTGCAAGAACATGTAAGAGATTTCAGCTATTTTTCTATTAAGAAAGGTGGCGGGATAATACGGCATCTTTTGGAGGATGCTGTCAGCACTGCCAGTGTGATGTGGGAAAGGAGGCCACACCTGCTGATCAGTACCTACAGCCTAACACGCTGTTGTGCAATAAGTGACACCGCACTCAGCTGAAGGATTTTTTTTTTCCCCCCCTCAGCAGACTCATGGACTGCGGTTTCCTTTGTCATACCTGGATGCACTGAAGCAGATTTGGAGTAGCAGCACTGTTTATGTTAAAGAGCTTAACCTTATCGCAGATGAAGAGAAAGAAAACCTTGCCTTGTCGTTATGGACTGAATGTCTAATTGAAGTTATTTGATGCTTTTGTGAATTAGCTGCTCCTGTAAGTAGTATTTCTGGCCATTAAGAATCTTTAGAGAAAGGCCGATTAAATCACTTTTTTATCCACCCAGCCTTTGGTTTGTATTGCTGTCTAACAAAGCATTGCAATATATACACTTTGCTACTTTCTGGTGCCAAATGTTACTTTTCTTTCCTTAGCTTTGGGAAAATGGGCATCGGGGGAAAACAGGTACGCTGCTCATCATCCAATGAGCCGCAGCCCCGTGGCTGTGGATGGATGAAGTCACTCGTAGTAACACCAGTGCTGTGCTATCCCCTTTGCTCTAGATATACGCCTTGATGTGGAGGACATCTAAAGGCAGACACGGAGCAGACTCAAGGACCTTGGGCAAAAACCAGTAACTTGTTTTTTCATTTGTAAAGTTCACCAGCAAGAAAACCCCTTTGTTTTGTTTGTTTGCCCCGAGAGAACAAACGCTTCTCAGCAAGAGCTGTGTATGTTGTTTCCCAAAGGGGTAAGACTTTGCCCAAGAAAACCCCTTTCCTCTCAGCTGCTGCTACCACTGGAATAAACAAACAATAGTATTTAACCCCTACCTTCCCCAGCACCAATTTAGTGTGAAAGTAACCCAAAGCTGTAACTGGAACCTGTATCTTCAGTGCTCACTTGAGTGGGTTTTGATGGGAGTAGTACAGTTATTTTAATTCTTGATGTTTAATATGAATATGTGACTGTGCTGTTACGTTAGTTTGCAATATACTTATCCCTTTTTTGTCCATTTGAAAGGAAATATTTTACAGGAATGTGCTCGACATCTGCTAAAACCTGTTGTTGTATTTAGTTTGTTTAAAAAGAAACCAACAAGCAAAACGTTCCTCCTAAAAAAAGTTTTATACAATTGAAATATACATGGCTGAGCATTTTACATTCAAGATCTCTGAAGTACAAAAGCCTGCTTTACTTTCTTATGTAACACTGACACACCAACTGTGATTTAGTCATTCTTGGTTTAAAAGACTAGAACTTTTTACACAGGCTTTTAAAATGTCATATGGAAAGCAAGTCACATGTAGAACGCTTGATATCCTGACTTACATAAAAAAGCTAAGCAAGTGCTTTAGTTGCAAAAATATATACATACATTTGAAGATCTGTTACCTAAACAGCAGATTTATGATAATTTTAGAACGTAAAATAGTAAGTGCAAGTAGACAGTTGGTGCAAAAATAACATACATTTGAAGATCTGTTACTTAAACAGCAGATTTATGATAATTTTAGAACGTAAAATAGTAAGTGCAAGTAGACAGTTGGGTTTTTCTTTTTTAAATAGTACTATACAGAACTCCATTTCGTACAAAAATAGACATCCATATATTTTATTTCTGTGGCAAACTTGGGGTTATGTGTTTTTATTTGTTTGGGGATGAATCCTGTTTGAATGCACAACTGGAATAGTTACAGCTTTTGGAAATTAAAATATCTGTCTTTAGCTAACCTAAACTCTTTAAATAGTTATAGAAATACATACCCTGAATATACAAATAAGGAAAAAAACCCTACATTTCCAATGAAGTAGATTAATTTAGTGACGCTGAAATCAAATGAAGTTACCAGTGATCCAAGGGACTTGTCTTCCACGTCAGGTGTTCACAGCCCTACAACTGTCTGGAGTTCCTTCTGTATTTGTCAGTGTTGTGTGAGGAACGTGCTCGTCAAGCCTGCGATAACTGCAGTCCAGGAAGGTATTTGGCTCGCTCTGTCTCAAGTGATAGCTAGCATGGCTGGTTGCATAGTGCTGAGATTGAGGAAAGCACCGGCACGCCAAGTCCTATCCCTCCGGGATAAGATGTGCATGTTGTTGATGGGCCACAGTAACGTTGACATGCAGTTACGCTGTTCTTTTACCACTAAACAAGCGCTGAAATGCAGGCTGCTAGCACCTTTGCAAAGACATACTAGAGTGAATTATTTTCTGAAGGAAGACGTGGTTTCAAGACCAAATTACATGGTATTAAATTACTCTATACACATCAAAACAGAATACAGCTAGAGTTAAAATCATTACTGCTCTAAATGCAGCTAGCCCTTGTAGAAGTCTAGCGCGACCCAGGACCGTTTATTCTCTCTTGATACGTGCACATACGGCTCCATGTTAAAGGTGACCTTCAGCGATAACTCACAGTGTCATGGGTTGGAAACAGGCCGTGGGTCAGCAAAACCAGTGCCTGAATCTGGAAATTTGGTATTGTTAAAAGAAACGAAGACAAAGGCCTACCAGTAACATTAAGGGGGTGAAAGTCAGGCTTTCTCTACTGCCCCATTTCACGTGCTGAGCTGGTAATTCCAGTTCGAAGTTGTCTTTATGAACAAAATAAATTGCATTTTAGCAAGATACATGATTTGAGCTTCAGGATCGCTTGGAGCCTACACAGTTTCACTCGGGAAATAAAAGTCCAACTCAACCTCTTTCAAGCTCATTAGTGCATTCATTCTTCAGTGAGCTTCCGTCAGTTTTTGAGGGGAAGGTAAAGACTAAAGAGCCTTTCCCCTGTTATCTCTTGCAGTTCATATCCTGCAAAACTCATGTCTAGTCTTTTGCAGTTACTTTCAATACTTCAGATGAAGAGTAATAGTGACTTTCATAGGAGCAGCCTCTAAAGAATCAGCTTCCCTGCAGAAAGACATCAGATCAACCTCCCATCTTCCAGATTTGTGCAAAATTCAGTTGGTTTAGGAGTTGGTATGAAGAAAGTAGAGAGGAGTTGCTGCTTAAGGTTCCAGTGGTGTGTGACTTCAGTAGGTTCTGGCCCCCCCCAGGTGTTAATAACCCACACAAGGTCCATCTGGTGGGTTTTACTCACAATATTTCAATATCCCATTTTTGTGAATGTTTGTCGTCTATCGGCTGATTCATAATGATGTGATTCTTGTCATAATAATTTCCTCCTTAAAAACAAAACAAAATTGTGAAGGAAAAATTTTAAAAAGAAATGCTCAGAAAAGTCTATGCGTAATCTTTAAAAAGTGTGACCAAGTAGGAAAATTAGCTGAAAAACAGAAATTCCACAAGGTGGGGGGGCTGGTGTCTGCCCCTCCGCCTCTCTCCGTTTGTCTCCTTCAAACGGTCACTTGGCAGCTTAGGCCCTGAGGAGCTCCATTAGTTAGGAAGTCGAATATACCACAAACCGGAGCCCTCAAATGCACCTCTGTGCACAGAAACGGCACCTCTAAGGAGACTTTGCTTTTGGCAGATCCTGAGCTCCCGCTCTGTGCCTGGATTTTAAGGCGCAGATCGCTGTAGCAGAAATACACAGATTTACAGATACATGAGAGATTATTTGGTGTAGCACGTCCATTTCAACCACAAACTTACGAAGTCCTTAAAATAAAACTTCTCTCCTTTGAATACATGTAGCATAGAAGTGACAGTGCATTTTTTATCATTGGACCATAAATAAAAATCCACTAAAAGAAAGAAATGTTCTAAAGAGCTAACAAGTGGTATCTCGCCACCCCAGCCTTCCACATTGTATTTTGCAGTAACCTAGGCAGCACAGCTTTCTGATTCCATAAGAGTTGCCATTAGTATTACCAGTTGCATTTAATGGTTTTGTAGTACCTATTTATGAATTAGTAATGGTGGTTAAACTCCTTAGTTCCGGAAGGCAGGAATGCTCTACTAGTTTGGCATCATGGGGCTGAGAATTCATTATCAGTAAGTTTGAGCTGCAGAGGTCAGATGGGTAACAGCCAGTAGGACCTTCATTGAAAAGGCTGATGACTTCACCTGTGGGACGTGCCATTACCCTGGTCTGTAAGCCCTGCAGGGGTGTTAGGCTATCAATTAATTTACTTAGACTTTTCATCCAAGAAGACAGCACCACAGAGCCCCCGACCTCATAACCAGCCACCGCAGTCACTGCCCCGCTACCTTTCCCTAGGGATAAAACCCTAGCGCCAGCAGCAGGGCTTGAACAAATGGCGTGTGAGGAACAGGCATTCTCCAGTGAGGTAGTTCTACCAGGATGGATAATTAGAAGGACTAGGACTTGAGCAATGACAATTTTAACCAGCCCAAAAACATTAGGAGTGAGCACTCTTCTCTTTTTGAGCCACACCTATTCCATGGCTGCTCTTCCTTCACCATTTTGTCTTCCATAACTTGCATTTCTTGCCATCAGCACTACTGAACTCCCTCAAGTAGAGTAGCTGATCTGATCAAAATAAACCTCTGGGATCAAACAAGTAAGGTTCCCCCCTGCCCTGTTGTTTCTTGTCCCACTGTCAAGCAACCAGACATAAACCTAACAGGAAAGATAGGATTCAGTATTTAACCTTAACTACAAAGAGCTGGAATAGGGCACTTAACCTCAATCAAAAATGCACTTTGAACGTGTGAGGTTTAGTCGTTTGAGTTTTTTTAAAATACCTTTAATATCAAGCACCAGTTGGTCGCTGAGGTATGAAGTGATGGTTCCATCCTCATTGAGTCTCCACTTTTGCCTGTCCTTCCCGTGTTCTGCCCAGAGCGCGACTTTGGCCCCGGACACATCTCTGCCACCAATGACGTCCAGACAGGCATTGTTAGCCTAAGGAACAAGAAGAGAAGTGAGATCCAGGCCACAAAGCCTCGGTTTTGTGTCTGACTCGTTTCTGTTTCAGGCACCGAGCTATATTGCAGCAATCATGCTATAGTTGGCAACAAGCCTGGCAAGCAAGCTAGAACAGATTATTCAGCAACTGACCAGTTGCTTGATCAAAGGTGGCGGTCTTTGTTACTTCAGGCGTTTCTTACGTTAAATCATCAGCTTTTTACATTAATAACAGACTGTCAAGGGCAGCATTAATACAAAATCACTTACTTTCTTCGCCTATTACTCTTCAGAGAAATTCTTAACTCTTTAGAGGTACTAAACTTAAACTTGCGACCTTAGACAAAACCAGGTTTCTACTTCCAGGAACATCAGTCCCCTTAGACAGATGTGAAAAGTAGTCCAACTTGCCACAGCAGACAGATCAACTCTGTCTATACACAGTAGGAGCATGTAGGTTGTAAGAGTTTTGGCTAAGATGCACGGGAGAGGCCAAAAGCTATCCTGGTGTTAATGCTAGCCGACAGTAAAAGCGGGAAGCGAAGGTGAAAGGACAGCAGGTGATACAACCCACCCCCTTCCAGCATCTGGAAACTCACCTTGGATTTGAAAAGTCCACGACAGTAGTGCCAGATCTGGGTATTCTTGCCATTGTATGGGGATGCGCACACTGATGTTGCTCTTATATCTGCCAGGCTTCCAGCAACCGTCAGATATTTACCTTGGGCTCGGTTCTTCACTCTGAGGTACGCTGCTGGCTGAAATAGTGTGAAGGAAGATAGTTATAACAAAGAGAGTAAGAAAGTCAATGTGAGAATGCCTCCCCTCCAGCTTATATCAGTTTTCTAAAGTATATGTTCCAGTTTCAGATGAGGATGTTCAATAATTTTTTTGTTGGAAACAAATGTGCATGTAAAGCAGGAGGAGGTGTTTTTCACATGCAGACAGAAAGCTGTAAGCAGCAATGGCAGATTTTTTTTTTAAATGTATTTATGTCTATAGAACTAATTCCTGTGATATGCAAATATCTCTAGTTCAGCACATTTCACTCATTCCAAGGCCAGTAAATGGGCTGTACTGCACAAGCTTTTTATTCTCGGGACACAAGACTTCCTGAGTCACGTATCCAGCAACTTCAACCCCCATTAACTGGAATATATGGCAAAGAAGTTACACCATTGCTTTTGAACATACACGGAAAACAGGGTACTGGCTTGGCATCCCCGTTTACTCAGTTTACTCAAAAAATAAGGAGATTTTGTGGGGCTACTACAGGGTTTGAGCTTTTGCTGTGTTATTCACTGATTTCGGTGCAAATAAAGAGCAGTGGGTTATAAAAGGCAGCTCTGCTGGAACCCCAACTCAAGCATAATTTTTCTTCTGGGAGCTTTGAATCTCCTTTTTTTTCATATTAAAACAAACCCTAAGGCACAGACAATAAAGCCTCTCTCCCACCAAGCATCTATAAACTAATGTGTATTAGTGCAGTGTATAGTTATTCTTTACGAGGAAGGGATTGTATTATGAAGCCACTGAGCAAAACTTGTGTCGCATTTTGCACGAGTTTCAAATGTTTCGCTTTTTCTTGCACTACCTTTACGCTGGCAGACTCGACTGTTTCTGTAATTTGTAATGGGGCCAGAAGGAAGAAATATAAGGTGGTGCGGGTTTGAATTATTACTCCGGTCTCAAAAAATATGACCATATGCCCACAGAAGTGTCAAGCACAGGTAGCTGACTGTACAAACTCAAGGAAGCCCTCAGTTTGCAGGCTTTAAAACAAAATAAAACCAGAAAAATAATCACACAAACCCCAAAGGCCAAGAGTGCCAGCGAAGTAGCTGAAGGAGGCCTTGTAACATGACTCACTGTTGCAGTGTACAAAAGGATGCTACAAAATACAAAAGCTCTTCAGATTGCTGGCTGAAGAGAGAATTCTGGTTTTAAGATCAGCACAAATTATTTTCATTATTATTTGCAAAAACAGAGCTAAAATGGGATCCTTTGGTAGTTACCACTTCCAAAGAATTCCAGGGAGCTGTCAACTTCTTAAACAAAAAAATTGTGGGGGGGGGGGGAATAATGCATAACTAATGCTAAAGATGATTATTTAGCGGCAAACTTTTTAGCAGGGCCTGTGGCAACAGGACAAGGGGGAATCATTCTAAACTAAAAGAGGGTAGGATTCAGACTAGATATAAGGAAGAAATTTTTTTACACTGAGGGTGGTGAAACACTGGAAGAGGTTTCCCAGAGAGGTGGTGGATGCCCCATCCCTGGAAACATTCAAGGTCAGGTTGGACGGGGCTCTGAGCAACCTGATCTCGTTGAAGATATGTCCCTGCCCACGGCAGGGGGGTTGGACTAGATGACCTTTAGAGGTCCCTTCCAACCCAAACTATTCTATGATTCTATGATTTTTGTTCACTGCAACATTTCCCCAGTTCCCCGGCTGAATCTAGTGCTTAAATGTAAAGCAGCATTTGTCACTAAGTGGAAACAAGTTGTTCTGTGAGAAGCAGAGCTCATGAAAACTCTTTTCCAGTGAAGTTACTGCTCGCATTCCCTGCCACTCTCCCCCATCCTTTTCCTATCTGCCCGGACGCTGCCCTCCCACGGCTGTGTGGCTGGGCACGCAGCAACATGTGCTTTGACTGGTTTGCAGCTTATGTGTGTCACTGATGACCTGATGCGTCTTGGAAAGGCAGAGAAGCAGAATTGTACCTGCTTTTCCTTGAATGAGGGGCATTTATCTCAGTCTTGCTTCTCTATCTGCCTTTCCCAAAGCTCTGAAGAACGTGGTGGCTTTGAGACCTGAATCTTTGAATGAGACTGAAATTGGCATTACTTGGGGTGAGGCAGAGAGGGAAAATCTGGTGGGACTGCTTGTCTTTTGGAAATCCAGACTACAGCACGATAAAATTTGTTCTTGCTTCCATTTATGTTAGTTATGAAACAAGCCAATGTAGAATTGGTTTTCTCATTATTGTTATATGGCAAAAATGTTAAAATAGGGCATCTACAGAACATGCTAATCAGCCATTCAGAAAAACAAAACTTGGCTCCAAGAAACTAGGAATTATTTCCCTTTAGGAGCCTAATATAGATCTCAAGAACTGCCACTGGAGGAATTTTCTGCTTCAGTAATCTTCCAGTAGGTCCTTCTGGCTGTCATCATTTGGCCTGATTAAGAGTACAATGCACGCCATTATACTTGGTGCTAGAGCCAATACTTGTGCACTAATCCCTGTCCAAAAATCCAAGTTGTCCTCATAGACTGTTACAGTACCTGCTTCATAGGACGAAGGGAGCCAATTACTTTCCAGCCACTGTGTTCATTCCAGTTGGAAATCTCACTGGGCTCCAGCAGAATCTGCTTTCCTAAAAAATTACATCCTTCGTATGCAATCCACCTGGATACAGAACACAGAACATGAAAGACTACACGTTAACCATAGCAAAACTAAACTACAGGCTTGTGTTCAGGACTGTGCTCTTGAAAGCCCCCAAACCTCTCCACAGTAGTGCTAATATCAAACCTATATTACTGTGCCGCAAAATGCTATCCGTTTCAGTAGTTTAATTATTTTCTGTCTAAATTAAGACCTGTTTTCCGTTTGTCTGCCTGGAACTTATAAACTCCCTGCCCAAATCTTTCCCACAAATATGAGAACTCCTGCATGAACCCAGGTGGGAATAACGCAGGTTTCAGTGGGCATGCAATTAGGAAACTAGGAAGCCACACACCAGATAGTTGTACTTGCAGCTTTGCCTGGTTGTACGTATTAATTATGAGAGGATCTTGTCCAATGTTTTCTTTTGTTACAGTTAAAGCTTCCTGTAGCTATTCCACTTGTCTGAAAACACATACAAAATACTTACTCCAAAACCTATACATTACTGCAACAGACTTTCCTGTAGTGAATGTATCTGAGCCATAGACATGGCTGAATACTTCGTTAACACAGAGTTAAAGCATTGGCACATGTAGATCCCTTGTTACCTAGACATCTGCTCAGTAGGTAATGTGTTGCTGCTTACAAAGGCAGCCTCAGGATCACAGATCGGGTTGGTTTGTATCAATAGGACATTGTTGTGCAGACAGTGAATCCTAAAGCTTGACTCATTAACTCATCTGAACACAAAGCAAATACTGTTTTCCCCACGTTACCTGTTTTACAGGTCAGCTGCCAAGAACATGAGGGATGGCTGCACTCCTAAGTCAGTGAGACAACATGCACGCACAGTGCTCACAGCACCTGTAATTTACTTTTCCTCATTGCACATAGCTTAGAGAAACTGACAGCCAGCCTTGCTCAGGACTCCGTGGAGGCTAAAACGTGCCAACTGTGCACTGCCTTGTAACGAGGCTGTATCGCTCTTTCTTCAAATTAAGTCCCATACCTCCTGACTAACAGGTATTCAGAGCAGCCTGACCACCGCTGTGTGTTCCTTATATTTCTAACACATTCCTGACTTTTTTCTCGCGATGCTTTCTGTGAAGTCACTGAGAATTCAGTGTTAACATTGTTCTCAGAGCATCAAACAGTCTCACTGGAAATGCAGTTTCTGTTGCCAAAGCAGGCATTTATAGGAAACCAGGGAGGGGAAGGACTGTTACAGCAATAACCATCTGAAGTCACATTGGGCTTCTGGCATTCAGCGACACAGGCAAAACTCATATCAGCTCAGGCAGACCAGCAGCCTCCGCTGTGCCATCTTTCCCACACCTTGGAGCACCTCAGCCCCCAGCCCTGTTTGCCACGCCACAGTCCAGGCTCGTGCTGTTTCTGACTGAGGTGGTCAGTTGGCTCAGGAAGGATCCTTGTACCTAAGCCTGGCAGCAAGATGCCATCGGTATATTTACATAAGTCTTTGTCATTTGTCTAAAGCTGACTGTAGGCTTTGGGGCAAGGAGCCAAAAAACCCTCTAAATCCACCTTCCTGAACTCTTGATCACAGATAAGGCAAACCAACCCTCTAGAACATCCCACAGACTTCCCATGATCGCCTGCCACCCTCAACCTTTAGGCTACCTATCTGCAGTGTGGGATGGGGACAGCCTGCGGAGGTTTGTTTCCTAGGGAGCATCACAAGGAGCTCAGAGAAAGTCCAGCCATTCTGCCCTGACCCTTCCCAGAGACAGGGAACTAGCTAACCTGGCTTGGATAATCAGAAATGAACAGGAAGATGGAGAAGGGGCTGGACTGTTGCGCTCACTCTCCCATGCTTTTCTACTATGTGGTCCTAAAGCCATCACCCTTCCTTTACAGCCAACTGCATGGGCAAAGGGATTTAATTTCCAGTTCCACATCCCTGATGAGAAGGCAGAGAAAGCTCATAGAGACGTTCCCCAACAGGACACACTTTAGATTGTAACACCTCCACAGAGGTATAAAGATTTACACGCTCCCACCAGAAACAAGTCAGGTGTTCCTCCCAAAGAAGGCCTTTCCTCCTCCAAACTAGCACAGATCATGGGGAATGCGTGTATGCTGTTCTCAGCCTCAAACGGCAGCTGCTTGCCACTCTCACCTGGGGCACCTCAAGACAACAGCAGCAGATGATCGCTCTTCATGTATTTTCAGCAAGGGCTCAGGATGGAAGTGGCACAGATGTTAGGGACTAGAGTTTATAGAGAATTGGCAAAGCTCTGTGGGGAAGCTTATATTCACTATGGGCCCACAGCTAAAGTCAATCGCCACTGACTGCTAAAGAAAGGGAGGTTCAATGCTTAACCAACCTTTCAAGAAAACACCGTGTGAAATTCCTGAAAGAAAACAGTCCACGGTGCTCTGGAGCATTAGCTAGGTTAGGCTTAGCCTTTGTACCAACCTCAAAGAATCAGAGGAGCGCTCAGCAGTGTTATCACAGATATCTGTAGAAGGGTTTTGACTTCTAGGTGGTAACAGACTAGATGCGTTTGAAAAATTCATCGTAAAAATCGCAACAGCAATATACCTAAGCCATGAACAGTCTACACTAATTCCTTGCCCAATTAGTTCAAATTTTGCGTGGTTTTGTGTCATCCCGTAAGATCTCTCAAGAAAATTACAGCCTTGTCTATATGAAAAAGGTGGGGAAAAGGTTAAAAATAAACACAGGGAATGTGTGTAACAGTAGAAGAACAGCAGTTTCCAGTCAATCTCAGTTGTACACAGGGAATGTGTGTAACAGTAGAACAGCAGTTTCCAGTCAATCTCAGTTGCAGGATGAGACTCTGCCAGTTATTTGTTGCTGCTGTGGATGTGGAGGCTGAAAACCTGACCAAGACAGAATACTTGGGAGTTTCTCCAGAAGGTGAAAGGGGAAGCTGTGGAAGAGGTTAGAAGGTCACTTCTGCAGATGTAAAATGGTTTTCACAGAAGACCCTGGGTGTGTATTCACACTCATGGAGGGGGGTTCAACTAGTAACAGAAGCAAATTACTGTTCCAGCTGTCAGATCCACCCCGAGCTTCTCTCAGAAGTTGCTGCCTCTTTGGCAGCCGATCAGCATGTCAAGCTTCACTGAACCACTGCAGTGGTTTAAGTTAAATCACTGCAGTTTTTAGCTGGTATTTTACAGCCAGTTAATCAAGGCAGTCCGAGTTTACTCTACCTGCCTTTGTAAGTCAGCAATCAAAACTAACTTACTTTCGGTTCCTGGCTTAAACAACAGGCTCTATTGTTCGTTACTGTATAGGGATAAAAGGACGATTCTTACAGGGGGAAATACACCCTCTGCCCAGAGTTTTTATTCATTTTGGGTCCCGATACAGAAAGTGGGTCTAGCATTCAACCGCATTTTAGGATTTCATATTGTCTCAAAATAAAAGTTAGAATGTAAAACACATCCTATGAAAAAAGGCAGTAATCGGGACAAAACGCATGCTCAGTATTAGCTCCTGTAACGCAAAACTGGCAAGATTATTTCTTCCATACTTACAATCCACTTCTCACCCATACAGACTGAGTGTAAAAATGAAGGTCCTCATTCAAAACAGAATTGATGGGTTCACTGAAGTGCAGCTCTCTGCCCTTGCAGCATTCCAGAGCGAACAGACTGATGGAGGGCTCAGCAAAAACCTGGGGGGGGAAAGGAAAAAAAAAGTGCAAAGTTTCACTAGGAATAGTCTAACTTCAGTTGTTAGGCATGATGCACACATTTGCCCACTTCAGTTTAATTTCCACATGCTTTTGGGTTAGATCATGCTCCCTCAGCAAATGTAACAGCAAGAAAAAAAAATACACATCCACTAACAAAGCACACAGAGCTGAAACATACTGGATTTATCAGTGGCTTTGCCGTCAGAGTGCAGTGCCCCACTGACACAGGCCAGACACAGCGAGTCGCCTCGAGATGCAGAGAGGCCTCCGTTTGCATTTGAAGAACCTCTTTTTGATCCGATTTGTATCATCAGGGCCTTGATTCCTTTTCATAAATCCAGTTTTATTTATTTATTGATGGAACAGGTTACAACAGTCGTTTTCAGGGCGATCTGCAGATTGCATCTAAAGTAGTGAGGCAAATTGCAAGTCTATTGTCCATAGACTTCAAATAGCAGTGGTTCACTGGAAAAATCTTAGGGATCTTCAAATTGGAAAAGGTTAAAAACATCAGAACCAGGAAGTTCTCAATGTTTTTAACAAACATTCCTATTTTTCTTCTGACAATCTTGAAGAAATAGCGTAATTAGTAACCCCTTCGATCTCATGTAGAATTGAAACGTTTTTCACTTAACGTCCTTTTCTACAGTTGAAAGATTGCCTATGAAAGCAAATAAAAAGATCAGTTTGCACACAAATGTGGTACAGCTGTAAGATCAGCAGAAAAGCACAGAGGGAACAGATTTAAATACACAAAGTCTGTGCCCTAGTACAAGGAACACTTGTACAATTTTTCAGAATTTTTAACCTAAAACCATAAGGGAAGTATCTTAACCAAAATTATTAGCACTGGTAATTTACATCTTGATGCAGCTGGTAAAGGAAGAGGGAATAGGTCTGAATAACTGCTTCAATTAGCAGCCTCTCCGGGGAAGTCACCTTGTTCTTAGGAGATGTTACCGTGAGATAGCTGGCCCAGGCAAATGTAGGATTTCTTTTGCAGGGAAAACATGGCCTCGGGTGGAATGAATGAAACAAAATCTTGAATTAAAGTCGACACAGGCACTGAGTAATTAAGAGAACGTAACTTTCATGTTTGAAGAGGAACATGTATTGTAGTGAAGTGTCTCTGAAGAGCTCAGTGGTGATTCAGGACTTAGGATTTACTGGCACTGACTCAGTGCACTTGGTATGTAGCCGGTTTTTCAAATCCTGCCTCAGAGAAATTGCTTTCCTCTGCCAACCAGTGCAGGGACAACGTAACTCATGCAACACTGCATGGACAGGGAGTTTGCTGAGACATTTTAAAGAGGAGCCTGGGATCATCCACCCGGAGAGATTTTTAAAGCCCACTGCACTCCTAAGAAACTAACGTTATGAAACAGAAAGAGATTAAAACCCATAACGTTTTTATTTTGGAATGTCAGTTCTTCCCACCTGCCTTCTGCTGGATGACGTGGGTCTAATTTACAGTGTGTGTCTAAGGCTTACTTTGAAATCTAGACCTAGTGCAGGCAGCTACTTCTCAGGTTGCTTTGCTCAGTGAGGCAGTATCATCACGCTCCAGTTTGCAAGAGCCTACTCCCTTGGCACTGGCTTTCACCTGAGTGGAGACCAGAAGCCATGTCCAGAACAGGTCCAACAGGGAAAAATTTCACAAGTGCATTAGTAAGCATGGGAAACACCATTTCGCATCCTTGTTCTTAGACATTCTACCAAAGCCTAAAACTTATCCTGCTGTTGCAATAATCAGTATGTTAAGAGGCAGGGATGCTGTACTAGATAGACAAGTCATCTGATCCAGCATATCCATTTATACACCAAGAATCAGAACAGCAAATTGGTGAAGTCAATTAAAATGACTCTAGCTCTCATGTGGTTAAGACTGTTTGAACTCAATGGGCCTGAGAGCGCCCTGTCCGGTTGCTCAGAGCCCCAGCCTGTCGGTACGCAGCAGACATTGCATCTATGACACACACACACACAGCTGATCACAAGGACTGATACCACCTTTCCAGTGAGACCTCAGAAGGACTCCACTGATCTTGGCACAGAAGTGAAGCACAGAAAAAGAAAACATGCTGCTGTCTCAAGCACTGAAGCTCTCATATTTCCGTAACCATATATAGAGCAATGAGCTGATTACTCACTTTATATACACCGTTTTACACCAACAGCTGGCAGCAGTGACTTGGCCTGGCTTTTTTCTCTGATTTTGTTTTCATAGCTCCATGGAAACTACCAACAGCAAAAAACAAGGTTTTGAGGCTATGCTGTTACCCTTACTACAGAGGCATCTTGCTCCCACCCTTCCTTGCAGAATGCTGAGGTGCACTTTCACCCATTTTCAGGCTGAAGAGTCATCACCGATAGATAAGCATGAGACTGACAGGATCAGCTTTCTTCACCAAGGCCCAATCCTGACAGGCCAAGGAGGAACGGGACTCTCCGAGAGCCAGAGGAAGGGCAACCGGGCAGAGCATACAAGAGGGGACAACCTCAGATTGTGACACTGCTTTAGGTGGGCCCCAGTCCCCGATTTTGAAAGGTGAGCTAAAGATATCTACATTTACTCATGACTGGCAAGTCATTGCCAAGTCTAGGTCAGGATTACCTTAGCTTCCTTTCATAGTTATTTCAAGGAAAATACCTGAAATGCCATTCTTGGGGTAAGCTTGCCAATTGCAAGAATGACAAAGCACTAAAGAAGGCACAAAGATCAGGTTAAGTAATTAAGGAACTAATTGCCTTGCTTAAACCAGCACCAATAAAGTTTCAAGAGATTTTGCTTGTCTTGTTTTTTAATGCCAGTGTCCAGGGAGAAACTTGAAGAGATTTAACATATTGAAGAGGCTGGTGATTAAGGAAGGCTATATTTACACACCATTTCAAGATATAAGCAGCCTTGTGAACTGTTAAATACAGGGATATTCTTTACTTAACAGGTGCGGTAGTCTATGGCTAATACAGCACATGATGCCATGAAAATGACACAGCTTTTTTCCCTCCCCACGGTGTGATTTCAGAGCCTGAAAGGTAAGCCACGGAAATCAACACGCTAAAAATCTCTTGCACAGTTCAACTCAGCTCAGACTTTCCCCTCAATGACTCCCACCTTTTTTTAACGGAGAGGAGCTGTGCACCACAAATTTTTCACAATTCAGAACAGAATTTTATACTTTACCAGCTCAGAAAAAAATGCAATGCAAGCCTGAAGTGTTTGATGTTAAACAAAGATCAGTGCAAGATGAGCTTCCTTTCAAACGCCATTTGTTTGCAGTGCAAGGCTTAGGTGCTTGACCCACTGAAAAGCAATAGTGTACAGACACAAAGAAGCTACCCAAAAGGTGCTACAACTGAACAGCAAGTGCACAAGTGAATTTGTACATATGCTTATAATAACAACAAGTATAGTTTTAGCTATGGATAACACACAGATAATTTTTCATTATGAATTTTGTGAAAATTGTTACTGATAAAGCCCTTTTGAGAAGGGCTCACCCCAAAACTTATTTTTCCTCACACCTTTTTTTTCAAACTTAGATTTTGCAAACTTTGATGGGAAAGCCCAATAAAGCCAAAGAAAGAAATCCATGGGGCCGGACTAAAGCATGACTGTAACCCAGTTGTGGCAAGGGTTGATACATTTCCCTGTTCGTGTCCCTGCTGACCCGTTACTATGCAAACAGCATTTGCCAGCGCCTTAACTGGAGGAGACTCCACAGCTGTATTACAACATCATCCTTGGAAAAATCTTTACTCTTCAGTCTTGGCTAACTCGTCATTTACAACTGTCTTTACTGAAGCTGCGCTTGCCTGGCTACTCCCTTCAGTGTGGGAAGGATGCCTGACTGAGGGAGAGGAACACGGTGCTGGACGACAGTATCGCCCACGGTCCAGTCCCAGCTACACAAAATGACTCATTGCCTGGCCCTGGGAAACACCGATTAATTTTTGTATCTGATTTCATTATTTTGCTCACAGGAATGCTGGGGAGATTAGTTAACACCTGTATTTAACTTAGAATAGGTAATCAATATGGAAATACAGGACCTATCACGCTTGATCAGAGCAAGAATAAGGAACGCCTCAGAAGAAGGTGGGGGGAAGCATTGCACAACCCAGATCTCATTTTTGTTTTTAGAAACTATGAGACCGGTTTAACTTTAGGGCTGAAGTTAACATTTTAGAAGGAAAACTAATTGCTCACTGTAACAATCCTGGATATTCTTGTCCATTTAAGTCACACCAAATATTACAGGGAGTTTGACAAAACAACATGCCTGTGAAAAGGCAGCATTAGAGCTGAGCTCCCCATTGTAAGAACATCTTGTAAGGGTCTCTATCCCAAAAGATTAACCTCTTCAAGCAACAAACACTGGACAAATGCCCCAGTAAGCAACCACAGCCCTATAAACAGCCCAGCTGACTTCACCCGCCCTCTTGCTGCCACGCGAGCGGCCCGTGCTTTCCTCTTCATGAATTCATGGCATTGCAAAAGGCAAGTCCTTGCTGATGCAGGCATAGAAACCTGCACCTCTGCAGCAAATTTCTTCAACAAGCTTTTCTTGAAGAGTGCTTTGGGATTTTTAGATGAAAGGAGATGATGAGAGGCAAGTTACATTAGTTCCAGTGTTCCTACCACTACTAAATAGATGTGTACCCTTCTAACATTAAGTGGGCTTCCAAAGCGTGTAGGCGGCCTGTTCACTTAAAGAAATATGTTCCTGTGAGATACACTTTCTAGCCTATTTTTCCCACTTATAAAACACTACATGAAAAAGACTCATTGGTCTTTCAGAAGCATTCTCCTTTTCAGAAGGGAAGAGGCCATGTAACACATTCAATATGCAATCTAGATTAATACATGGGTATTGCAACACTATTTTTGAAAACAGAGAACATTATTTTCTCATTATCAAGGTACAGATATGCTTTGCTCCTTCTTTGTATCCTCTTACTAACCTATAGCTTTTCCTAAATGCTCCCAGAAGGACAGAACAGTCCAGTCTGAATTTCAGTGAAATAGAACAGCAGGGAAAAAATACAAGTAGGGTCTCCTAAAGATTTAGTTCGAGTATTATACACCTCGGAGAATAAGCCAAGTTGGGAAAGAGGTTCCTGGGAATAAAGGAACACCTTCCCCACTCTCCTTAGAAACCTGCCTAACTTTTCCTTTGCTACTTCCTGAACAAACAGTAGAGGAAACTGGCTACAAAGATGTGCTTAATTCCTCTATGATGCCAGTGCGTAATAAATGGCGGAGAAATAACCAAAGTGGAACCATGTTAATTTGAATTTATTGAGAAATGGGGGGAGTGTGTGTGGGGAGGGGGTGGGGGTAGCATGCCATACTTAAATGATGACAACTTCACTTTTCAGCAAAGAACCCATAAAACATCCCTTCAAGAGCTAAAGGTTAGAACAAAAGCTAGCCAACGTAAAATACTGTCGTTACAGTGAAGAAATCAGACCACCGCTAGTCTAAGCCTTTTTTCTTATCCAAATTCATTTTGTATTGCTCTGAAAGTTTTGGGTTTTTTCTATTTTAATTGGGCCAACTCAGTGATTTAGAAAGAGATTTTTCATTTTGTTATGTAATTAAGCTGTGAAACAAGCAAATTATATTTCTGGCAATTTTCAAACTAAAAAGTCAAAAGTTTGCTTTCCTAAAAAAAAATTCCTCATTTTTTTCATTTAGAACATTTGCTGTATTTATTTGCAAATATTTTGTTTGCATCAAAGCTACATTTTCCAGAGAACAAACTATTCCCTCAAATCCTTTCCTGATCTTCAACTGGTCGATCTATTTTCAGAAAAATCAGTCAAGGCTTTGCAGAAGTTCTTAGCTGTTTCACATAGATTAAGGCATTACTGTTACCTCACTCAGTCACAAAAATCCCACTGCCACCTTACAGTGTTGTTCCATCAGGTCACAAAAGCACATCCATGCCATGAAGGAGCACTACAAATACGTAACTTTAACCCTCAAACACTCCTTCCAAAATGGAGAGCCCAGAAATCTTGTGGCAGCTGACAACATCCAAAAAGCCCCTCAAAAAACTGTTACAGATTGTAAGTGAGAACTCAAAAAGTTACACTGAAGGTATTGCTACATGCAGTAACAAAAACATTGCTAGATGTTCCTTTTAGTTACTAGAACAGATAGGAACAGAAAGGGGAACCTTGATTCAGGGTCACGTGCAGAAATTGGTGTGGATGCCCAGCCAAGCTGCACACCCCACAGGTGTCAGTGGCCTGTGCTGAGTGCTATGTTTCACAGCTACTTTGGAGTTAGCCCCACACAAAGAATTTATATTCTTACATACATCCTACAGATAAAGGCCCAGAGTTGGGACTTCACTCAGCTGTACAATATCAAGGTAACATACAGTTAATTACCATTACAATCTTGCAAATTAGAAAGGGAATGTCCAGATCCCGTGTCCCCATTTCCTCCAGCGGATTTGTTCTCCTATCCCAAAGGACTAGCTGAAACAATCTACTTCTAAAATATATATAGCTGGACCACACCTACAACAGTCAACAGACTTGGACTGTTTTCAAAGGCTGGTAACGAGCTAGCCTTATGAGTCCTTTGTACTGCTAAAAGCATATTTTTTTCCCCTCTGCCAGTGCCACACATGGGCCTCTACTTCTAGTCAACATCTGGGATGCAGAAACCTCACACGCTGAAGCAATACACGGCTCCCCCCGGCGTGACAGTCCTTCCAACAGTTACACTTGCAGCAAATACATCTCACTTAAAGAAGAGCAGGAGACAATGCACATTCAGGGCTTGGTGTCGGGGTTAAACATTCTCCCTCTTACACGTGAGCTATCGAGATACACACCTTAGGTCTGAAATTGGGCTGGTATTTAAAGCCGAATAATGGAAGGGGTTCCCAGTGTCACAACTGAATTCAATAAACCTATACAACAATTCCATTTGGGAATACGCTCGCTGCTCTCTTGAATGAGCTAACAGAAATATCTTGTAATAAAAAGGGCTCTGTTCCAAGAACAGCGCATTGTGGACAATGCACAGAATTAACTACGGCTGTTTCTGACCACTGACCAAACTTAACTGCTGTGTGCTTAACATCACGTCTGTACTACACAATGCCTCTGAGCACTGTCCTGTTCGATTAACATACACAATGTGTTAGGGGCTGATGAGGGCATTTCTATTTGTAAAACAGGTGTGGTTCAATAGCATTTTCTGCTGTTTAGTGCCTCAATTTTGTGAAATACAAGGGCTCCTATTTGCAAGAAAGGAACTGAACTAAGATGTGCAAGACACTTACAAACTACAGGAAAATGTGTGTAAGCTTCCCACACGTAGCCTGCCAAACACACTTCTCCCAGGGCTTGGCCCTCAGTAATCAAGGGCTGCCAGTAGCTTCCTACTATGCCAAACTGCATAGTTACTCCCCTGTGAGATTACAGGCTGGGGGATTTGGATGAGACCTACCATTTCACGTCAAAACTTCACTCTTTATTTAGCAGAGCAGAGTCCAAAAGCCTAATGTGAAAAGGAGATCTTTAATCTGAAAACCAGGCTCACAGCAGGTGGGAAGCTACAGCTCCACTGAAGTCACTGTATCTATGTAACCTAGTGAAAAGACCAGCTCTCAAATGCGAGTTGTACATCCTACCCACCATGCCCATGGCTTTTGGTGTTTGGTTTTGGGTTTTTTTTGGGGGGAGGGGGGCAGTGTGTGTGTGTGTTTGTTTTGGTTGGGTTTTTTTTTTTTTTAATCTGTTCACAAATGGAAAAAAGGACTTAATACTTGAAGAAAAGTGAATTGAGTGATCTTCAAAGTCTAGTTTCGCAAGAGTTACGCTGAAGGGCAGACATCACTTAGACTGAGTTTGTGTTCTGTAAACAGGGAAGGAGGAAGAGTTTTGGAGAAGTTGGTCAGTGCTAGAGAGGAGCGGGCAGAGCAGCCACTTGCTTCTCTTTTACCAACAGCGTTATGGCCAGCTTATCTTTGATGCTCTTGCACAGGAGCATACCAAGATATGGGAAGAAGGCACAGACACGACAGCAAGACTCCAGAGGCATATGTCCCGTGTGCAGGATTACAATAGGATGTACAAAAGGCTGTATCTATCTTGTACTGGATAGTACCATGCACTCCTGTCCAATCTCCTGGCCATAAAGGACCTCGTATCACACCTTACTGCTACAATAGGTCACCTGACTGCAAGTTGTATGCTTGGGTAGTACAACCAGCGTGACCTGAAAGTCACATGAAGACTATATGCGTGTGTAATAAGTACTTGTCCTGTATCTCAGAAGTCACCAAGACAGGATGGCCACATGCGCTTTGGACTGGACTATCTGATGTGTCATACACAGCTCACAGGCCACATGCGTGGTATATTATACCACTTTATTGACCCATGATTTGAGATGCCATTAGGAGGTGAAATATTTTTTTATATTTCTGTAAAACAGTTAGTAAATTAAACAGCATTATGGCAAGTATATGCTACCTTTTAACTTCAATTTTCATGTCTTCTGTGTGTACTTTGCTTTAAGACTGAACCTTGGCTGTAGGCCTAAATAGAAGAAGCCCTGTATGCTTAGATGGCGTGACAAAATGTCTCACTGCGTACTAAGCTTGCTGAGCTGTATTATAAAGACCAGTCAGAAAAATGCCAGCCAATGCAACTCATACAAAAGAGAGCAACTCTGAGCCCAGAACACCCAAGTGCGTGTGCCTACAAGTGACCATGTGCATGCATGCATGCAGCCTGGCTTGTTCCAAACCCAAAAAATCCCGTAAGCTAAGAAAACAAACTTCACTCTTTTCCCTGAGTGGGAGTTTGTTCAGTGCAAGCACTTGCTTCAGACATCTGACTAGGAAAAGAGTTCCAAAACGTTATTTTTTTTTTTCAATAAAGTCCTTACATATTGAATAGGCTTGAGGGATTTGATTGTAGCAGTCGGGCAGCCACAGGAACTGAGGTCAACGTAGAGGCCTTCTTCCAGTACACAGTGATTGTCAGTGATTTCCCCTTGGTAACGCAGGAGCCAACTGCAAGAATAATGTAACAGAAAAGATCAGCTGCTCTAGCTGCTTATTTTTAATATTTGCTAAGGAAATAAGGAATAAAAAATTTGTTTGTTCTTCTTAAGCTTAAAAGTAAGGTGACTTGAAAGGCTATGCGACAAAGCAACCAAAGCAGCAAAATCAAATCATGTGGTACAGAAATCTCAGTTCCAGAATCAAACGACGCGAGTGGAGTGCAGACACTTCTACTGTACCAAGTTCTCAAAATCTGGAATAAATTCTAACTGGAGTTAAAAAAAGAATCACAGTAACTACGCAAACTTCCCACAGGGAAAGCAAAATGCATACTACCCAAACCAATGACAGGACGACAGTTACTGAGATGCATTGCAAGACAAAGAGTCTAAGACGTGACGGAATGTGATGGGCATGTGTTACGCACTTTTCAGCTGTCTGAAATTTAGTAGAGTTTAAAAAAATTTTCATATTACTTAAAATGATGGCATGTAAAACAACAGACTTACCATCCCCGAAGAACCTTAAAAGAACATGGTATGAATGATGTAAAATCAGAAACTTCTGCTGTGAAATCTATACATGCTCCTTGGAAATGTGTATTACTGAAAGCTTTGAGCTACAAGAACAAAACAAAACAAAACCAATGACCAGAAGGAAAACAAACACATTATCATTAATGTAAACAGAGACAGCTGTGCTCTTAAGAGAAGTATCCATTCAATTCACAAAGATACAATAAATAGAATGAATTCTCATTTAAGGAATCTTTTACATTTCTACAGCTGCTTTATTTTTAGAAAGATCAAGTGTTTTATCATCTCTGGGCCTGGTACAGGATGCTTCCCAGTGATGCTAAGGCAGTGGTATCAAGCATAAGTTCAACTGCAGCAGGAGAGGGCCCAGAGAAAAAGAGAAGGCTAGGACTGAAGGACGTTATCTTCCATCCAAAGTACTCCTGAACTGCAGCTAACTCTTGCTACAGCTCAGCAATCTAGTGTTCAAAACAGGACGGGGAAGCGTTGGTCAAAACATACAAGGCTACTGTTGACAAAGTGCCTTGAAATCTGTGACCACAGCGATCGCAGGTAGTTTTGCATTTAAGAACTAGCAGAAGAGTTTCTGGGGGAACCGGGTACAGCTTGGTAGATGCACCATGAACTTCTGAAGTTCAGCTAAGCTGTTTTCACACGCCATGGTGAAGAACTTCAAGCCACATTGAGCCATACCCCACCAGTAAGATGTGATCAATTCACCCTGAAAAAGCAGTAAGGTTGAAAGTGTTGCAGTAAAAGAAAAAAAGAAAAATAAAAGAAAAAAAAGTAGCATGATACAGCCTATGATCTATAGCAAAGTCGCCTAGAATTCTGTACCCTTGGGCTGCTACTGTGTAACTGAGGTGAATTTCACTTTAAAGCCTGAAAGAGAGGCTGGAAAAGAATGAAAAATTTAACTGGATCAAGAGCACAGCTCATATTCTGTAATGGAAGAAAACCACGATGGCTGTTGCAAGAGCTACTTTCCCCTTCATGCCCCAAATTGGCCTAGCTTCCTGCCAAAGAAAAGAAATCAAATGCTTTTGCCAGTACAGAGCGAGAAGGCCAAACACAAGTATCAGCAAATGATTTTATGGAAAAGCTCAGTCTATGTTTTTAAAAGAAATTGGTATGTTTCCTGTTAGAAAGAACAAGAAAGGCTTAACCTGGCCTTACATGCTGTAACTGCAAATTGGAGAACACAAATCAGCTACAATATAATGAATAAAGTGTAGCTGATTTTTCTGTAAATGTAATTGCACTGCTATGTCACAAAGCATCTATTTAAACTGTAATTACATAGTATTTTCTACCCACGTATCTCAAAGCTCTTTATAAAGGAATATATATATACAGTCTTTCTTACGTAAGCCAGATGCTATGCAAGGCTTTTAAAAAAGATCTGTAACTCACTTTTATACAGAATATACCTACTAATGAACGATGGTCTTCATTTGACAAAAGCTGGGGTGAAGTACTGATTCTTAGTGAAAACATTGCATATCTGCAGTTAGTCTCAAACTGCAGCTATCTCTACTTTGTCAGGGTTTGACATTACTATACGAGGTTTTGCTTCCCAAAAAGTCAACGGACAGCATGTTAAAATACAAATACAAGTTATCACAGCAATTATCTCTGCTTCCTAAATCATCCGTACAAGTCAGCTGCTATTGAAAGAGGCTTTGTTCTTGCTGGGCAAAACCAAGTTTTATTTTTAATAAATAAAATGAATGGCTTTTTAGAGTTGGTGATTTCAGGCATTCTTACATTATATGTACTTTGTTTATTAGGGAGCCTGGCAGGAGGAAAAGGTCAGGGGAGTTACTGAGAGATTTAGGAAAATGTAGCTGCTTTTCAATTTCTGACGAGCAACTAAAAACAGAAGTGAAAAAACAGACACACTCTTGTAGACAGTGAAAACAGTTCCCTTAGCTCAGACATATGTTTATTAAAGGTGGAAGAATGTATAATCATTCAAAATAACCGGTATACGGCTTATACAAGGGTCAAACATTAAGATGCTTAAGGATTTGCCAACTCATACGCACCATGCTTTGAAGTTCCAAACTAAGAGACTGTTGCGTACACGGAAACTTTTATTTTACTCTGAATGGGAAATTCTTCATATTTATCCTAAAGACCATCCTTTACTTATCCTAAGTGATTAAATGTTTTCCCACAAAAACTTACTCAAAATATTTCCCCTCCTAAAAGAACCGTAGCAATATGAATGATGTTCTTCCTTTCCTAGCTTTAGGGCAGAATCCTGTGAAAACCAGGATTGTGATAAATTAGGATAGTATTTTTTACAAATGGTGTTAAGACTGCTATTAGAGAACACAAAAGGCAAAACACAATCTAGTACATGTCAGTATTTAAAGGTGACTGCATATACACACACACAGGGTTTTTTTCCACATATTACTGGAAATAAAAAGACTGTAAAGCACAATTTATTGAAACTTCAAAGGTTTGAATTGATCTTAAAGGTCTGCAAACCTGGATTAAAGCACTCGATAGTTTTTGGGAGATCCTGAAAAAAATGGAAGAGTTGAAGATGGAGAGAAAATTATGTTCAACTGTTTGGATCGCACCGGTTTCTTCTGAGTCGGTTATTTTATCTGGTATCATTTACCAAGGCCTTACTGTGAACGTACTTGCAAGTCTTTGGATTTGGCCGCAAACTGCCATATGAATAGGTCTGGCAGGAAATCAGTGTTTAAGACTAAAATAATACACCAATTATGTCTTCAGACAGGAAACATTTCCTGTAGTCCTGGGTTAATCATTAAATTGTAGAACTAGAATACTTGGAGAAAAAGAAGGGTGTGGTCAACCTGCTAAGTAACACAATGTATTTCCCACGCGCTTACAGCTATTATACCCATCCAAGCAAGAAAGAGCAAAATTGTGTCCAGATGACAAAATACTTCAGTTTTCTGAGACAGAACCATTGAGCTCTAAAGTCTCTTTTGTCTGAAAAAATGTCATGTTTTTTGAAATAAAGTTTTCCAAACTTGCTTAACTAAAAGCATGTCATAGAGAGAGCAATGTAACCACTTAGATCGTCACCCTTGCTAGCAGCACACTCCAGGACAGAAAAAGAGAAAACAAAGAACTAATGCAGGAAGGGAGGAGAGCCCTGTTGCGACAGAGACAGACCATAGTTGGCGATGAGCACAAACACTTCGAGCAGGTTTTTGTTTTAGAAAGATATCACAAAGGTACATTAATGGAACATAACCTTGTAAGATAAGGACCAAAAGTGTAAAACCCTAAACTAACTCGTTCTTGAGACTAAAAGTGAATTATAAGGACTGTTTTCTCTTTATAAGTTGTAACCAAGTTAGACACAACTTTCAGGGGAATTGTCAGAATGTACTGTAGAAGAGATTTGTCATGGATTTATTATAATCAGGACGTGTTCAGTTAAGGTCATATGTTACTGTGAGGAAAAGGGAAGCATGGAGCAAGTGGTGCCTACTCCTTAAGGAGCAGCTGTACATGCTTGGGAGACTACGAAAAGCAGATCTACCAGCATACACACAAGACTAAAAAAACCCAACTTCCCCTGTTGATGCATCTGCAGGTTTGAAGACTGCAGTTCAATTTTCTGCAGTTTATACTTTCTTCTTCACTTCATACGCGAACAAGATAGTGACAAACCAGATACAATGCAAAATATTGGAAAGAAAATATGCCACAAAGAGAAGGATGAATGCACGTGATAGTGAGTTTCCAGAAACAGGAAGGAAAGAAGAGGAAAATAAGTAGCTATAGAGACCCAAAGTCACTCAAAACCTGATGAACTGCTTGCATTTTTAAGGACAGAATACTAAAGGGTATGATCTGGAACAAAGCAAAGAGCAGAACATTAGCAAACTTAACCTTTAGACATCTACCAGTTTCCTCCATCAATGGTCTGCTGTATGGAGATGATAATACTGAGATATCATCTGAAGTAACAAAGCAAGACATTCAAGATTACCTGTATTTAATTATTAAATGTAGTTTAGTACTAGACACTGTTATATAATGTCAACATACCAAATGTGGAGGCTCATTTGTTCCAAGCGGTTCCTGCAATAATAAATATATACACATGCATATAAATAAATACAATTAATTACAATTAGTTTCCTAGAAGACATGTCAAGTGCCTGAAATTTGTTAATTATGAACTCAAGAGCAGAGAAAACCACACTTCCCAGGCTCTTGACACAATTCTCTTCCCCAGCCTCTGCCATCAGCTGCCTGTAAGCTCACGACTACCTGCCTGACTGTTCAGTGCCATTCATACAGAGAACTTGCATCAGCAAGTTCACATAATGTGGATTACAGTCCACGTAAATGTTTCTGCATTTATTTTTGAGTCTAGTTCTTGAAAAAAAGATGGAATTAAAACCAACAGAAGACTGCGACACCTCTTTCAATATGTGTTCTTCAAAATAAGGTTAAATGTTCCTCTCCTATTTTCAGTGCAGTAGTATCATTTATTATATACTTATTACTGAGGATTGTCTTTGTTTTGCATTAGGGTTTTGACAGTTCTGGCACTAATCTATTTGGGCAAGTTGCACTACATTGGATTTAATTATGGATTAAAAGTATCTCCTGTCTTTATTCACTATATGTATTATAAATATTTTAGCATTAAAATAAGGAAAAAAAAAAATCAGACCTCTATTATACAACAACAATATGGGCCAGATAAATTCTCAAGTATTTTTATATCCATTATCAATTAGGCATTATAAATTACTATGTTTCAAGGCAAATTAATCTTTCCAGGCCAGGTTATTCTTTCCATGAATGCAGTCTGACAAAGGGAAGTTCTTCTTACGAAGTTTCCTTGACAATTTTCTCAACAGATAGAAAGATCCAGAGCATCCATTTCAGTCTCCATCCTGAAGAGACTCACTATGTCATTCACAAGGGTCTTTAAATTGTTTCCAAGTAAACAGATAAATTGATTAAACAGCATAGCCCACATTATAACATTATTGTAAGCTCTGAACTCCAAAGGTCTCATTTAAGTTTTCCCCTTAACAAGTTCTGGTAACTCACCAACTTAATAGGTCGAATTGACATGATGATTTTACTAGATCCTCCCCAGTCGAAGAAACATTTATATTTTCCTTTCTCCAACACATACTGTTCTCCGCAGAAATATTTCTGCTGATATGCGACCCACCTGGAGAATGACACAAAAATTAAACTGAAAACATCACATTTTTCTGTGCAGTTTAGTGAAAATACTAACGAGTTAAATAGAACAATTTTCTTTGGAGTTTTCTTGGTAAGTCCATCTGACAGACAGCGTAACATTAAACCCCATGAGAGGTGCATAATTGTCACACACTTGATTTTCTGCTTTTACTTTGCAAACACTAGTTTGACAAACACACAACTTTGGGTCTCTGCTTTTCTATCAAATATACATTCAGCATGAGATGATGCCTTGCTTAGAAGCCCAGAGGAAAGACACTTAACTGACAAGTTTTTGAATCTCTCTCAGCTGAATCTTTACCTGTTCAGCATCCCCCCAGATAGGGCTTTCTTCCAACTTTTCCAGTTGGATTTAAGAAAAATGGTGCAAGAAGAAAGAGAAGTAAATGAGGAAGCCTTGGTAAGAGGAGATAAAGCAAAAGCTTGCAATGGTTGGCAGTTCAAGCTTCTCCCACCCTGCTTTCCCTGTTGCGATTTAAGAAGAAAGAAACCCCCAACTACATGAGACCGAGGGTGCCTCTAGACCTGCACATGCTCTTTGGCACTGGCAGAAGTAGATGGAGGCTAGTTAGAGAGACGCCACTAACTTAGCTGCTTTTGGTGGCGCGTTCCTCTCTTAGTCACCCAGCACCTGGGACTGTTATATTAGGGATATTAGAGGGCATCTCCTTTCCTAGTCCTTTTAGCACCCGCTTATGAATCTGTTCGTCATTAATTTGTCTAATGCTTTTTTAAACCTCCTGGTGCTATCTGCTACCGCAGCCTCCTTCAGCAGCAAGTTCCAGAAATTCACTGCCTCCGGTCTAAGAAAGGCTTTTTGCTGCCCACCTCTAAATCTGTTTTAAAGCAATCTTCAGCTAGTTCTGTAAAGCATCCCCCAATTGTTGTCATGCAGGATTCTGTGAACGCTGCTGCATTAAGCTTGTCTACCACCTTCAGGATTTTGCAGATCTCGTTCATATCCCTCCTCAGCCATCTCTTCTCCAAATTGAGTCCCAGTCTTTCATCCTTGTATCTCATCCTCATGAGACACTAATATCCAGTCTCTATGTGAGCAGTTCAAATTCCCCACTGTTGCTACCTGTCCTAAGTTTGAAGCTTTTTTAGTCTCACTTAACGGTTGCTGGTCCCTATCACCATCACCATTAGGGTAGGTATGACAACATTAATACTGCACTTTTAAAATTACTATTAAAGTCTGGAATTTCCACCCACATGATTCCATAGTGCTCTTTTCCCATAACGTATTTTATGTTTTAGCACTTGATATCATTCTTCATGTACAGTACCACTCCCTTGCCTATAATAGCCTACTCTACCATTCCTATAGAGTTGGTAGCTCCTCTGCTTATCCTTCCTGTGAATCTCTGTGGTATCTGCTATATCAGAGCTGTTATTTCATGCCAAGCATTCTAGTTCCCCCCTACTATTTTTTAGGCTTCTAGCACTTTTAAGTTTTGTCCTTGCTCCATCAGTTAATACCATGTATCTCCATCGACAGACATTGCAGGCGGTCTCATTTACCTTCCTTATTTATTGCAATTGTGCTCTTTATTTTCCTCCTGGACTTCACATATGCACACCGAAAGTTAGCAGAGTCCACCCTGTAGGCTGTATCAGCTTGAACCAGGTACTCTTCCACACCTGTTGGTTTAACCCCCTGCTTTTAGTTTAAATAGTTCTCTAAAAAGTGTTTTAATTCTCAGTGCCAGCAGCCTGACTTCAATACAAATAAGGCACAGCTCATCCTTTCTGTACAGGCTCCACGTGTCCCAAAAGGTATCCCAGTTCTTAACATACCTAAAATCCCTCTTCTGTATTACTGCCAAAGCTCCTGCATCATGAAACTACAGTCCGTGAGACCTCTGGAGGGACACCACAAGCTTTCTCTAGTAACAAGAATGCCCAGATCCAAATCAAGGTGGATGCATGAGATTTAGAGAAAACTAAGATCTTTCTTTTTTTTTCTTCCACTTACCAAGGAAACTGAAAGAAACATTGTTCTCCCCCAAATGTTTACCACCTGTACCATGTGAAATATATTCTGTCAAAGATGTACCCAAACCCAACTGTGCACAAAAATACTTAATACTTCCATCCATATATTTCAGTAGACTTACACTCCACTTCTCACAAGAATTGACCTCGTCTCTGGGCCAAATCCACCCTGCTCCAAATCAGGGATTTCTTCATTGACGATGTCTAATGCTTTGCCATCTTCATCATCAGACTGAAAAAGTGCCACTGATGACTCTATGAAATCCTAAGAGACAGCACAGGAATTAGAAGACAGGCTGTCACAACTCAGTGACACTTCACAACATAAAACATTTTGGAAAAGAGTTGTAGCCTGAAAGATAGCATTTTATAAAGCAGCGAAGGGACTTAGGTCCCTTGTGTGGATCTTTATGGGATATTTTGGCATTGAAGTGCCTAGCTGGAAGCCTGGCAATCTGATATGGCCTTCAGTGATTTCCACTGAAGAGAGGAAGAACCTGCTGCCCCTGAGCACCATCCTTTCCTCTATGAGGATGACAGAGTGCAAAGATACCTGCGTGGAAAAGAGAAGGGTTGGGGATTTAGCATTCATCTATCTTTGAGATCCCAGAGAAGGGTTGGGGATTTAGCATTCATCTTCCAACAGCTTCAACAAATGACTACTCCAAGCATTACCATGACCATAGTCTTTTACTTCAAGTTCTCCTTCCTCATCCCTTCCCAGCGACAAGGCAATAATCATGGAGAGGAAAAGACTGGGCAAGATCACCTTTCCAGCACAAGGGGTTTGTAGTTTTTTGATACATCCATTGTATGACTAATCACTACAGCTATAAAATAAATCCCGCATGACACTATCATGTTCTCTCTTACATAGCTGTGTGACATTGCTTTATGCTTTCAACTAGCATAGCTGCTTGATCAGATTACTTGCACAGCTTCAGATTATTTGAATTTGGGTTTCAAATCTCCAACTTTTTAACCACTTAGCAATTTTAAGCACACAGTTCAGTCACTGCTTGGGAAAATGGAAAACAACAATCCATTCATTTTATTCCTTTAACTTTTAACAAAAAGCATGAACTCAATTCAATTTCAGTGTTTCTGAAACATTCAGCAACGTTATATAAGTTGAAAATAAGTAAGTCTTGCAAACAAGAGAAAAGGCTATCGAGCAAATACAGGAGCCGACACAGATTCACAAACATATGAGGACACCATCACAGGAATTATTACACTAAATATTTGCTGCTGTAGCACTTACAAGCTACCAACCAGAAGCAGTATGCTGAAGGCTACACTGAGAAAACAAAGACTTACAACAATCAAAAAACACTTAGAAATTAAGGCCAGGCCAATCATGCAGCCAGATTCATTTGGTCAGGTGAACCTGATCAAACAGGCTCTTTAGAGGGTACCATGCCTTTGCACAGCATTCAATCACAATGAATAATGCAAACCAATTTTAGAACGAACACTTGATGTGGCTCAACCTCTCTGCATTGTGTACAGGACACTGAAAAGTGACGGAACAAATTCTGTGGTAAAACTGGTTTTCCTACTATGTTGACCATCTCCTCCTCTCATTTATTTAAAAAGTTGCAACTACTTCAGGTATACACTAGAAATTAAAGTGCCAGGTCTGGCAAAATCATCATGAACAACTGCAGCTTCAGATT